AATCAATATGGTCAAAGATATCGATCTCATAGTCTGAAGGTTCCAGGTTCGATCTTTGGTTGCGTCGTGGGTGTGCACTGATGAAATGTCCCGAATTGGGATGAAACAGCTGTCCACTGCTCTCTGTCTCTCTGGTTTTCAATGATCTTCAACTGATGTTGGCTTGTGATGAAATCTACATTTAAAATAATTAGTCAGTATAAACATGTCAGATGGGTGTTAACTACAAAACTAAAGCATAGTTAAAGGGTGGAAATATTTGTGAAGATTAAAATACGTGGTTGTACAAGGAACAGTTTTTGAAGTGTAAGAATAATAAATGAGTAATCAGTTACATAATGAATAATTATAGGTGAAGTAGACAGATTAATAAGATAGCTAAAATAACATTATTAAATTGTAAATAGGTCTAGGGAAGAGGATTATGGTTAGTTTTCTTAGTCATATGAAATTGGCGAAGGTAAAGAAATCACTTGAACGAATTGTTTTGCTGAATACACAGATTCAGCTGCAATCAACGTGAATTTCGCTGGCTTCTGCTGTATGTGGAAGACAAACTCAGTTCAGGATTAATAGTGATAGGTATACTACAGATAACTCTAAAGGCCTTTTCACGTCAACTCATGATTTGTATTGATTTGTTAAAACAGAGCTATGAGTAGACTTTGTTTGGCAGGGATACGAAGCTGGTGTTCATAAATTATTGAAATAGTCCTTTTTTCATGATCACTAACTTTCAGTCACGTCGATACTTGATTTATCTTCTTTTATCCTTTTTAAGTTACCCGTAAATCATGTTATGATGTAGATAGATTCGTAACAAGATTTCATCATTAGCTGATTTTGGTTAGAGAACCACTGAAAACTTTCAGGGAGTACTGGACAGGTGTTTCGTCAGCCTAGTTTGAGACTCTTCATCAACACGCAACCGCCAGGCTTCGAACCTAAGACCTCCTGGCTACGAGGCGAGCTCGTAGACCATTAGGCCACTGAGAACCGATCCAACCCATGAATTCTAACTTCTGCCGATTCACGGCATAGCGCGACCACCAGCCAATGTCTTCGACGAGTGCGTACTGTCAAACAGTCCAAAACTAGGCTGACGAAAAAGCTGTCCAGTACTCCCTGGTGGTTTTCCAGTGGTTCTCTAACCGATGTCAGCTCATGATGAAATCCTGTAACCAATCAATCAAATCCCGACAAACCAATACTTGAATAAATGGATTCCTTATGGTCTAACCATTTAGAAATAACTTTTTTGGAAATAAGAATAATATTTGCGATTAGAATATAATTTACTATTATACTACTGTTATACAAAAAACCTTATTACACTTAAAGTTTTAAGCCAAATAATTGGTTCAGTCAACTTATAATTATTACACTGTGTGACCTCAATTTCACAAAATACTTCCAGGAGCCTTACTTAGCAAATAAATAAAACATTGGTGCAGTTAAATATAGTAGAAATGACGTAGTTTTGGTGAAATGCGGCATAATATTAGCATTTTCCGTTAAGTTCCCCAAATAATGCCATTTATGCCCTACAATTTCTTCAAATGCCATAAAGTTCCCATAGAAATGACTCAACTTGTTTTAAAAATTTAACTGTAAAATATTTCTTCAGTACTTCTTTACTCTTATTATCGTCTACATTAACCACCAAAATCATTTCATTAACTTTTTGGAATATAAAGCATAATAATAAGTTAAACAACGTACATATTTTTTTAAGAAGTTTTCTAATAACCTTGATACTATGACAACACACATTTTATTAAAAGAAAGAAGGATAAATGGCACACCCTCTTAAATTGGTTATTAAATTAATAAGTGGAATAATATATATTATTTGGACTATTCTAAGGTTCTATTCTTATAGCTTCTTTGATTTTTTAAATTTTCAATTGATTAAATAAAGAAGATTATAACTGATTAGTTTTGTTCTACTCTTAAAATCTTACCTAACATTCAAGGTAGAATTTGTCAAAAAAAAAATGATGATAATAATTAAAGAACCATGAAAAGTTGTTTCTTCCTCGTTTATGACTCATCAGAGATATACAACCATAATCCCAGTAAGGATTAAAGCCGTAGACTTTAGGTTAAAAGATGATCAGGGAGTACTGGACAGCTGTCTTATTCTAGTTTGGGGCTAATCATCAGTGCGAAACTAACGCGCTTCAAAATAAGGACCTTACGGCTATAAGGCGAGCTCGTAGACGATTCAGACACTGAAATCCGATCCAATGACCTATGAATTCCAACTTCTACCAAATTGTGATTTTAGCGCTACCACCAGTGAACATCATCGGCGAATATTTACCCTCACCCCCAACGTGGTGAACCCTACTGACCATGACTTCTCACCAGGGATTTCAGACAACTTTGTCCTGTAGCAAGTCGCTAGCGAACATCGGATTAACTTCCAAGAGTTAGTATTTAGAATTTGTTGAACATTAAATTCCTCCGAGGTAACTGGATAGTCAACAAGATCACCTTCTGACCTGAAAGTCCTGGGTTCGATCCCCTATACAGTCTTGGATGCGTACCCCTAACTCGAACGAAGTAGTGGTTACGTAACTGATATCACTCCCTAGTTTAAAATTAAATTTTCATATATTCTTTTACATTCTTTTATTTAGCATTTATTTATTCTGTCGGATAACTTACTAAACAATTTCCTGAATGCAGATTGTCTTTGAAAATGGCTAAAATTAACTAAAACGTAATCAGCAGAATATAGTGAATACTGAACTTTATTTTTCTTTTTAACGTAAAACTACGCACAAAAGTGGGACATTTCAAATCGGCAAGCTATATAAAAACACACACATAAGGATATCAAAAACAAAAAAAAATTCGTAAGAAACTCTATCTAATAGAAGTGTGAGGGTTAATGAGAATTGAATGAATCTAAGGGTTCATAAAGAGTGAATGTATCTACACCTTTGAGAACAGCTTTTGAGCATGTTACGAACAGTCTCCAGATATTGATTTTTAGATTTTCAACTACTAAAACCAGTCAGTATACCTTTTCGCAACCAGTAGTATGCTATAGCTTTAAGTTATAGCAAAACTCCCCATTTTCTATTTTCTATGAAGTCTAACTTACAGGTTTTTAGCTTTTTGAAGACTGTGTTAATTTCCAGTCATAAGGATGGCTCTAAATTGTACACTTTTAGAAAAAAATTGTAAATAATTGTTTACTTAATCACCCATTTTATTAGTTACGGTTATTTGCAGGCTTTTATTTTCACTTTTTTCCAGGATGGCAAACGACGATCTGTGAGTAAAATATCTCTCATTTTAATTATAACAACTATACTCAAAAGCTAACATCACTAGTTTAAGCTAATACCTACCTAATTGTTGAGTCCACTCGAAATTACAGTGCTTAGCAGTGCTTCATTACTTAGCTTGTTTATTATGTTCGTTATCTGATTGACAAACTCGTATCAATCCTGAGATTTGAATAGGTATATTTGGTTATTCTTCATTGCTCAATCTACCCCAGTCTGCTGTTTACAATGCTGAAACTTTTATCATAAACACACTTCATACCTATTCACTATTTCGTCATTCTTATTTCTGATGTGATGATATGTTTGTGTAGTGCGGATTTTATAGCTCTCTGATAGTTATTAAATGCACCTGTATTATTATTATTGTTCCCTCGGGTTCCTAGTGGAACATAGGGCTTCAACTGTACGTCTCCACTTGCTTCTGTCTTCCTTCTGCTGTACTTTCCACCTGCATCCATGTAAGTCCATACTGTTTCAACTCCTCTTCAAACGATCTCCTCCATGACACCCTTGCACCGACGACCTACTCGCCGCTTCCCTTTCGGGTTCCACTCGAGAGCTTGATGCGCGATGTCACCCAGCGGTCCCCTCAGCGAGTGTCCAATCCATCTCCCTCCACTTTCTTCTGCATATTTGTTGGGCGATTGGTTCTTTATTTGTTTGTTCCCAGCCATAGTTCCTTGTCGGTGATTCTTTCCGGCCCAGCCATCTGGTCCTCAGTATAGATCCAGCGAAGAAAGTTGTTGATAAAGGTGGCGTCTGTAACAGGCTATTGGAAATATTCTTTGTGACCCACCCGCCAAGTTTCTGATCCGTTCCGCATAGAAGAACTGACTGACTTGACGTTTGTATTGAAAATCCCACCGAATTTTGTTGTTGATGCTGGCTGAGTGATGAAGATTTCCAGATTGTCTTCAGGTTGATGAATGTGTTTCTCGCCTTCCCGATTCTCGCTCGATTTGACATCCTGGTCCGTTCCTCCTGTAGTTGACGCAATGCTCCCTAGATAGGTGAATGAAGTAACCTCTTTTAAATCCCTCTCGTTGATGGAGATTGGCGTTGGATTTTGTTACTCTTGTTGTTGTTGGCTGATTATTTTGATAACCTCCATCTTGTCTATGTTCACCTGGAGTCCTGTAGCTCTACTTTGAGTACCGAAAGCAAAGCATATGTGTTTAGCTTTCTCTCGTGAATTTGAAATAATATCCCTGAATGTTCTCGTCATAGGTATTATTCACTTATCAGTTCTTCTATATATACTCCTGAATCTGTCTGATCTTCGCCACTCACATTCGTCTTATAACCTTAACTTTTTTCTACTGTCTTCAGCCATTGCAAATATTTCTAAGGTGCTTATGATTCTGTCAACAAAAAAACATTTTTTGCTTTCCGAAATAATAAAACTATTACGCAAACAAAAATTGGTAATTTCAATGACTGAATGTAGAATTTTAACACATTCCATGTAAATCTGTTTAAATCACATCCTTAAACTGTTTAATAAACATAATTTAAAACTAATATTTAAAATTGGTGATCAAATTTCTCTGCAAAGAAAAGTAAACTTTGTGAAGTATTTTCATCAAATATGCACTGGATAACAGTAATTGTTCATATATCTCCCGATTATTCATGACATATGTTTATGCTCACCATGTTATTTGTTGTTTTTTTTCTGCGAAATTCTCTCCTTAGAACTCATGATGAATCTCCACCACCATATGAAGACTTCAATAAGTATCCAAAGTTAAGTAAATCAGAAAGTAGTACACATTCTTGTCCAAGTAAAACATGTATACAACAACCTCAACAGATTACAAATATAAATTGTGAGCAGTTTGTAAACTCTGCAGCACCAGCTGAAATTACAGGAGCTCACTGGATAGAACCTTTTCCAAAACCTCAAGGAGATCCACCTCCAGCTGTATTCGACTGGCTACGTAATCGATTTGGTTCATTTCGTCAAAGTCTGTTGAGTCGTTTATCCTTCCGTAGCAGTCACCTAACTGGATCTTCACTAACAAATTCACGTAATCATTCGATTACACCAAGTTTCATGTTAACTACAGATGTTATTCGTAGTTCAACGATGGATCAATCGGAGTTATCAACTTCAGAGTCAACTACGGCATCATCTGTAGCAGAAGCAGCACCAGCTTTTCCAATATTAAGTACTCCGAATGAAATGAATGAATCGTCATCTTCCACATCTAATACCTCATCGGTAACTCATGAATCCGATGCTCAAAATGTCACAGAATCATCTATCAGCTTGTCAAATATCAACAATGCTGAACAGATACAATCCAGTAATATGAGTAAACCGACTAGAATTTTAGTTATTCACGAGAATAATGTGAAACAAGCAAGTTCACATCAGACAAATTTGCCAGAAGATAATTCTGATCCCTCCGATGATGATGATGATGACGATAATAGTAGTCACTCCATGACCCACACATGTACAGATAGCTGTAGGATGCAAAATTTAATTGTACAAAATGTATGTACCATGTGTTTGTTTTAACTTTACAGTGAACATTGTAATTTGATTATAAATATTTACAGTTATTTATACACCCATGCGTCGATAGCACAGCGGTTAGGACGCTCGCCGACCATGAACATGGTCCGGGGTTCGATCCCCAGCTGACACACTCCTTTACTTCGTTAAGCCAGTAGAGAGACTGGTAAAGAGGAAAGGTTGGGCATGAGGCTAGCAGCCCTATCCTGTAAAAATTAACACTGCTACAGAAAGTTCAAGTCTCTAGCTTGAAGCCCCACGTTCCAATGGGAACGTGAAGGAAATAACATTTCATACACCCATCCATCTCTATAAACTTCGGCAATGAGTTCCACTGAAAGAAATTTTAGACTTTAGTCTTAAAAGAATATTGACTTCTATCTCACAAAAAGTATCCACCTGAAAAACTGGTGATCACAGAATAGCAAAGCTGCAATACACATTTAAATTATCTACTTATATATTTTTGAAGACCTTACAGTCAAATGAATTATTAAGATCTACCCTGACAGAGGGAATATCGAGTTCTCAATTGTTCAGATTCTGAGGATTACATTGATTTACAAATAGATGTCATCACAAATTGATATGCGTCGGTGGCACAGTGGTTAGGACTCTCGCCGACCATGCATATGGTCCGAGGTTCGATCCCCTGCCGACGCACACCTGACATCTATGGTCGGCCTGAAAAATTTGGGCTACCGATATCACGTGCTGAAAATTCCATACTCGTACCAAAAATAGAGTGTGTGGAATCAAGCTGTAATCAAAAATAAAAAAATAAATTATACAGAGCCACTACAAACTGGGCAAAACTCTGTTGTTGTTTCATCCTGGCCTGGAAATCTTCTTAGTAAGACTATGGTTGCATACTGCTGACGAGTTCTTAACTAGAACGAAACAGTTATTTAGAGCCTTTTTACTTCTAGTGGATTTTTTTAACTGATGTTATTTTGGTGGCGAAATCTGCCATAAGATACCGTATGGTTAGGTAGTAGGAAAAAAAACAACAGTTAAAATTAGAACTGGTGTCTTTTTCTAGGTTATTGATCACTTGAAACTGGATAGAGAAACATGTGTGTCATGAGAACATACCTAAGGAAGTTGGTAGAAATAAATCATTTAACAAATTGGTATATATATATATATATATATATATATATATATACAGCACTTCGTTTATTCTACTTCATTTCACACTTTAGTGTAAATGAAATAAAGTAAATAGAGTCTAATTTATTGCATGAAGTTGGAAGTGGTAACAACTTGCTAGAAAGTTGAATACCTTTAGAATTCATATTCTTTGACTAGGCGCATAAATTTCTGGTACATATAATGGTAGTTTTAATCTCATTTCTTCCAAAATAAAACCAGGTATTTGGAAGTTGTACACTAGAGGCTGAAATTTTATTATAGATCTTGGTTTCAAGGAGGTCATGTCTTGTAGGTTAGTGTCAGCAGTTGGAAACTACTTAGATCAAAGACTAATGTTCACTCGGTGTTTAGAATGCCTTTACTATTCGCTGTTAGTGCGATTGTTTTGTGATTACACATATCAGCAAGTAGGATATATTCGACCACACTTTAGTTTCCTAATTTGGTCTAGCAGACCAGATAATGTCAGCGCTATGACTCGTAATCTGAACAGTAGAAAAATGTAGTGCTGATTATACTCAACTTCATCTCAGAACCTTACAATGATTTCTGAATAACTTTCGTGTTTGAACTACATATTAGCTCAGCATTTCCATATGTTTTAATTTTCAATGAAAGAACATTGTGCTCTTTCGCAAATAAACGAGCGAAAAGACAGTCTATGTTAACATGAGGGGAGTTCATCTTCAGCTTTTTAATAGCAGGATAGGATGCTATCACTTTGATTTTACTTCATTATATTTTGACATTACATGAAACTACCATGAAACGGATTAAGTTGTTACTCTAGGAATTACAACATTCAGTCTGTCTGTCTGTTTTCGACATAGAACTTTGCACAAATGTGCGGCAGTTCAAGTCGCCACACTCCATGTAGCACAGAAAGCAAGAGAAGAAAGTACAAGAAATGCATAATAGAGACAGTAAACGGAGGTGTGAGACAAAGGAATAGTAATAACGAAGAACAATATACTTTCATTGGAAATCATAAGTTACAAGGAGTGGATGCATCTCCGCCAGCCATTGAGAACGATTTTGAGCCATGTCACCAATTGTTTCCAACCATTGGTTTTTACCGTCCCGAGGACCCCAACCAGTCAGGAAGTCTACACCTTCCTGCGTGGCTTAGACCGACTGTTGTAGATTTCATTGACTGGTGCCATGTTTTGGTTTGACCGCCGCTAGATCTTTTCCAGCCTGACCCTATATCAGCTAACATTGCCCTTCGACGAAGGCGATGACTAGGCATACGTAACACATGTCCTAACCATCTCAGTCGATGTAACTTCACAGCCTCGTCGATTGATTTACCCTCCTTACCTAGAACTCGACCCATGCCTAACCTCAATATTGCTCACCTTATTATGCCACTTCAAACGGGAGATAGAACGCCGGCACCTATGATCAAAGACAGCCAATCTTTTCATGTCTTCCACTCTCAATGGCCAGGTCTCACAGCTGGCCATAAATAAGGACGGAGCGGACTGATGAGCAGTACACCCGCCCTTTGGTCGAAAGCCGGATATCACGTCTACGCCAGAGGCGGCGTAAACTTGAATATGCGAAACTAGCCCTCTGTATCCGTGCTGAGATTCCGTCAAAGATCAACCTGTTGGCGTTGGTTGATGGTACTTCCCAAATAAGTGAAGCGGTAAACGTGCTCTACCACTTCACTTCCTATTTTTAAACTAGGCGTCGCTGTAGTCCAGTCCTGTAACATCATCTTGCATTTGGCGGGAGCGAATCGCCTGCCAAATATTCGTAGATTGCAGCTCAAGGTGTTTAGAAGACTCTGCCTTTTGTCAGCGTCCTCGCTTAGAAGGACTATATCGTCTGCATATTCTAAGTCAACGAGGTCATTCCCTGGTAGCAAGTCAATCCCTAAGTCGCTGAAGTCACTTAGGGTTAAGTCCATTAGTACATCTATGATGAGGTTGAATAGAAATGGAGATAATGGGCATCCTTGACGGACACCACTAGTCGTCACCACTTCAGATGACAAATCACCGGAAGCCCTCACCTGGCCGACTGCATGAGTTCGACTAGAGTGCCTTAATCAGTGCAATGTATTTTCTTGGCATTCCCTTTACAGCCAAGCCTCACCAGAGAACTTCTCGGTCGACAGAATCGAATGCTACCTTTAGGTCAAGAAATATAATGATTGTTGGACGCCGGTAGGAATGCCTATGTTCTAGAATCTGTCGGAGGGTGAAGATATGATCAATACAACCTCTTCCTGGTCTAAAGCCTGCCTGGCTCTCTCGTGTTTGTGCCTCCCTAGCACCACTTAGTCTACGCATGATTATCGAGCCTAGGACTTTAGATACTATATTAGTCAAGCTAATCCCTCTGTGATTATCGCAAGAAGACTTGTCTCCTTTCCTGTATATGGGGATAATCAGTGACTTACACCAACCCGATGGGACTTCTTCTGATTCCCAGACGCTGACTAGAATCTCAGTTGATGCAGACATTAAACTGTCTCCACCGTACTTAAATACCTCTGGAGTCATTCCATCAGGTCCCGCTGCTCTGCCTTGTTTCAGATTAGTGACAGCTTTAGTAACCTCAGTAAGGGACGGAGGACCTGTGTCTATATCTCATTCAGGGAGATGTTGGATGTTTGGCAGGTTAAGCGTGGCTGTAGGCAAATTAAACTGCTCTTCATAGTGCTCTTACCAGCGTTCCAGCCGTCTATTCTGGGAGCTAATTATGGTGCCATTTTTCTCTGAGGTTGTTTCACTTATCATTTGCCTTTTGCCACCTGTTTCCCTGATAAGCCTAAATAGTTATCTGATGTTGCCAATCGCCGATGCCTTCTCCATCTCTTCAGTTAAAGTAAGTAACAAGGGAAAATTTAACAGGTGATTACTGAAATTAAAGTGATGTATGCATCATGGATGGACTCGAATTAGTGACCTATGTTCCCGACTATCACGCATAACATCAGTAGTCATCTGCCAACTCAAGGTTACTTCGGATAGTCTCATCATCAAAAGAAAATATGTGCATTCTGCGATTACACGAAATAAAGAATTAGTAAATTGAAAGATAAAATACCGAACTGTACTGCAGTTACGCTAGAAATATGGTATGAATGTTTATATTCACTGTAATCTATTCCATATTACGTCACATAAAATTTTGCAGTCTGTTTTACTCGTCTCATGGACCCCAACTACGAAGGTATTTAATCTGTCTAAAAAGCGACTAAAGTTTTAATAAAATACTCACATTTCCATGTATGAACATTCTTATCATGTCTATTACTTTATATTATTTAATTTAATGTTTCACATTGGGATAAATAGTAACTGAATAAGTGTAATATATCTTTCAGTCTTCTCCTCTGAAGAATGTCTAGACAAATATCAGTCAATTTATCTCTCTTACCTACGTTTTTATGTCTACATTTTTCTGAGTTTTGAGATAGTTTGTCCACATACATGGTTGATAATAAAAATTCAGTGATGGAAAAATGCGTTGAATCTTTTCTAAAGTCTATTTTTAATGATCATATCTGACAATCTGAAGATTTATAAAAATATTCTAAGAATAACTTACAAATGACTGATAAATTTAGGCCATATTCATCCTCTGAATCGTATTTAAATGATCAGACAAATGTTTTAACTTACACTAAAGGCACTGACTAGGATGTTAATAGAATTTTGATCTAAAATAGTGTTAACTTCACATTCAGTCAACGAGTTGCAGAATCGATCGTAATTGGTCGTTAACTAAAGATATTTTCCATTATATATTGAAAAACCCAGAGTATATTTTGAAATAGTGCAGGTTTTCAGTTCAGGTAAACACTTTTGTTGTTGATATGATCACCGAGTTGGATGAATTGCTTTCAAGTGTTAGTTTACAAGGATTTGATTGGTATCAATTTTGATCACGAACTGACTTTGGGACACTACTCTACAGTCGTTTTGTCTTTGTCCAGGGTTCTTCAGCAATACACACACATGACCCCACCAGGGATTGAATCCAGAACGGTAAACTTGTATACTATTCAATCACTGTGACGGAATCCAATGGCTTATCAACTCTTACTTCTGTCAATTCGTCATACAGCCTGACAGCCAACTAATTTCGTTGATGTCTATCTGCTCTCACGCTTAACAGCTGTTCAGTACTCTCTTGTTTTCAATGGTTCTCTAACTGAAATCGATTTATAATCAAAGTTGGATGATTTAATTGTAAAAGTTTTATTGTCTCCCTGGACAAAATTTTCAGCGTTAAATTCTATATCCATGAAATATTTATCTCTTCTACCGAGGTTGATGTGACTGATTATCCCAGTAAATTTCCTTATGACTGTATCCAACTGTACTGATATTGATCCTTTTGTTGACCTGATATTCGACCTTTAGGTCGTATAATCTATATTTTTATATATATTTTTTAATCTATATATTTTTGTTTCTTTTAGTTGAATAATGAAAAAGAATCATCCTCAAGTGTTACGTAATCCGTAAGGACACACATATACATATACCAATCATAGATATATTTACACGTATATATAATACAATATGGGTCATGTAAATAATTACAGTAAATAAATAAACAAATAAACAAAAATTATTATGTCTCACAATTAAATGCTTATGAAACACTCGTTTTTTCTTGTTCATTTTCTCTGAAAACATTTACATTTAGGATTTTATTTTACTGTTCAATTGTTTGTTTGTCTGACTACTTTGTAACAATAATCTTCCTTTTCACACTCAACAAAGAAGGCGTAATTACTGTTATATATATAACACTGTATACAGAGTATCCAGCCAAGAAATTCTATGGAAATCTGATGAATTTATTAAATTCAACCTTATTAACATTTACTGCATGTTTCATTCACTTATTTTTAGAAAATAAAATGTAAGGAGAGTATTGTCCTCTAATTTGATAAATGATCACGTTGTCAACTAGGTATGTTTGTTATTTTATCTGTTCTCCCTTGCATTCCTCTAACTAGTTTGCAGTTACTTATAAGTGAAACAATTTCCTCAATTTTCCTTTATTCACTTTCTATGGCATTTATTATTGAGACGGATTTTTTTTGACAAATACTGGTAATCATTTTCTTAGTAATTTTACTTTTTCTCATCATTTCCTGTATTACATAAAGTACCATTTTTTTAAAATAAAAGATATGAGGTATCATTATTATTTGTTTTAAATGAGCATTCAGTTGTGTGGACAATTCAAGAAGTTAATCACATTTAGAAGTAATTACTAGTAAAGCCAATTGTTTGATAATTATTTGATATGTGGTGAACCTTTTACTCTGTTAGCTTAGTTACCCAAATTCAAATAGAAAATAAAGTACCAAATCAGTTTAGTTACGGGAAGAATGTATCAAAGTTTCATTACTTGGGTTTACAAAGATCCAAAATCCACAATAAACGTAATAGACTCCAGGTGCTGCGGGAAGACTGCTCCAGTACTAATTCTCCAATGTTGACATTGCCGGAGGTCGACCAAAGTACGTAGGAAGAACTACGGTGCTCCTGCAAAAACTTGAGGTAGAAAGCAGGTGATTAAAATTGATCGACGGCAGTTGAGATGGTGGAGAAGACGGAGAGTCGAAGGCAGAACTATATATTTATTCAGAACCCGAGGTAAAGTTCAAAGTACAGAGTTTATGGTTAAAACAAAGTGATGTACAATATGTTCATTTCTTACGTAGTAGTAAAATTTGGATAAGTTTATTTTTGAGGACTCCACAGATATAATATGTTTATAAATAGGGTACAAAGTTGATCATAATATTGATTGATCACTAGAGTTCAACCAGTTTCGTGTACTTTGTTCTTAGCATTAGTGCTAACTGAATTCTATCAGTGAAGTTAACCATATGGTCAGCGAGCTAAGAGACTTACACTCTCGAAGGACTTTTGATTTATTATTAATTAAATGGTAGGAGTTAATCGTCAAAAACTGCGGCCTGCTTAAATCTTGGGCTACCAAAATTTCCATCCTACATATTGCATCTATTTCCTCGGATTTATTTTGTTTTAATCATTCAATTATGTATCCAAGTCGCATTACTTACTCTCGCGATTATTTAAAATGTCTTCAACCTGTTGATTTACGAGTATATAATAACGTTAAGAAAAAGCATCATGGAGGTTGGCAGAGATCATTAAAGTGTACTCCAATGCATCAGATGACTGTTCCTGTGATTATGAGCACAAATTGCAGGTCATTATCGAACAAGATTAACTACTTGCATTCTCTATTATACTCAAATGTATATTGTAATACTGGTGTAATCACTCTTCAAGAGACTTGGCTCCATGATTCATATGACGACAATTTAGTCTCCTTAAGTGGGTTCACAATCTACAGACAAGACCGATGCAGCTCGAAGAAGAAGAGAGGTGGTGGTGTTGCCACTTTTATTAATTCTCAGTGGTCTACTGCCAACAACGTCTGCTTCAAATTCTCAAATGACAATATTGACTGTATAACTGTAAAATGTCGACCTAAACACTTACCTAAGTACAACTCCATTTTTGTCACAAATATCTATATCACACCTTGTTGCAGTCCCTCAGAACTATCTATCTTCGCTGATGAATTCACTATTTTTGCTGCTGCTTCGTTTGGTAACTCCTTATCTATAGTGACCGGCGACTTCAACTCCAGCGACTGCAGTTTTATTACATTGCTGGGCCATGCAAATGTTGTTAATTTCCCAACTCGACAAAATACTTCACTTGATTTAGTATTTGTAAATGATTCTGGAATATACGAAGCTCGTAAAAGAGCCCCACTCTTCAATTCTGATCATTGTATTGTACGAGTCTTACCCAAAATTTACGGAAAGTTACACAGTAAAGCCCTCTCAAACTTGTCTAAGAAAGTTGTTCACAGATGCTACTCAAATGAGAACGTACATCATCTTAGAAACATGCTCAGTGACACAAGATGGGATTTGTTTAATGTTGATTCACTTAATGACAATATCTCTAATATTACATCCTATCTGAAATTCTGTTTTGAAATCTGTTGTCCAAAAGAAACACTATTCGTCAAATTTGACCGTTTCTCCTCGCCTCAACTTAAAAAGCTTCGTAGAGAGAAGGAAAAACTATATAAAATCAAAGATAAAATTGGTGTAAAAAGAACTAACTTCTTAATTAAGTCTGAAATGCAGAGGTTGAATGTAATATATAACCAGAAATTCATGTCCTGCAAAAATCCTTCTAATATGTGGAAACTATTTAAGGAAATCACTGGTGGTAAGCAGATAAACAATATTCCATATTCTTTTGATGTATGTACTCTTAACAAATCTTTTATTTACTCTCCCTCAAATGCCATGCTTCCCAGCATCACTTGTGTTAATAATAGCCCCTTTCCAGGTTTTAACACAAATGATGTTCAAAAGTGCCTCAAGTCTCTAAACCCTTCCCAGAGCTTAGGTCCCGATTATGTACCTAGTATTATTTTTAAAAAATGTTCTGATATTCTGTGTCACCCTCTTACTGATCTATTTAACAAATCTTTTTCCGATAATATTGTGCCTGCCGTTTGGAAGGACATTAAAGTTGTACCCATACCTAAATCTTCTACTGGAGCATGTGTCAAATTTAGACCCATTGCTATTACGTCTCCTTTTTTGAAAACTATGGAGAAATTACTTTTACTTAGTCTTGAACCTTCGCTTAAATCCTTTAATGACCCTAAACAATTTGCCTATAAGCACAGTAGAAGCACTTTAGATGCAGCTGCCGTCTTATATCATAACATTGCTTCCAGTCTAGACAAGGGGGCTAAATTTGTTCGTTGCGCCTTCCTAGACTATACATCTGCTTTCGACTCGGTCCCTAGGGACATCTTATTAAATAAACTTGCTGCTAGTCAAACAGAATGTTGGGCTGTTAACTGGTTACATTCCTATTTCTCAGATAGAAAGCAGTACACCGTATATAAAGGGAAGTCCTCCACTTCATTGCCTACTGAAGCTGGTGTCCCTCAAGGTGCTGTTCTTTCTCCTTTTCTTTTTTCTTTCTTCTTGCACGACTTGCCTCACTCTGATGAAATAAACTTTGTGAAGTATGCTGATGATTTAACGGTTTCAATGGCTGTTAACTCCCAGCTAGATTGTACTAAAATAAATAGCTTTCTATCGGAAGTCAGCAAATGGTCTGAGTCTAACGGTCTTAAACTGAATCCTTCTAAGTGTCAAACTGTTGATTTCAGCTTAAGATGTAAACGACAGTTAAAAGAAGTCATCGATTCTCATGACACTTGTAAAATTGACGACAATGATATAGGAATCAAATCAGAAATTAAGTATCTTGGACTCATTCTCTCTTCTGATCTCTCCTGGTCTTCCCATGTCTTAGCAATCTCCAGTAAAATATTCCGCTTGACATTTTACATTAAGAAGTTAAGACACTCGGGTATAACTCAACCCCTCATCCTACAGTTCGTAAACTCTTGCATCCTACCTATTCTTCTTTATTGCTCACCCTTATTCTTTCCTGGTTTGCTTAAAAAAGACTATGTCACAATTCGTAGAATACTGAAGACTGTCAGTAGAGTGAGTGGTGTCCCAGTGGACCACATAGTTAACGTCGTTGTCGATAGGCATTTGACTTCGTGCAATAAATTTGCTAAAGGGATTTTGTCTGACTTGGAGCATCCGCTTTACCCTCAGCTTTCACCTTGCATCTCCTCAGGTAGAACAAGGAGTAACTTCAGAAAACTGTATGCTCGCACGTCTAAGTATAAGAATTCTATGATACCATACTTGGCACGTATTTTATGTGATGAAAATAGTGTCAGGCAAGAATTAACTAACCTTTTTCATCTAGTAAATAAACAATTTCCTCCATCCATCCTTATATACCTTCAAGTTTTACTTTTATTACTTCTATTATATTTATGGTCCTGTTACTTCTCTGTTTTACTCTCATAATTGCAAACACCAACTTATCTCCATGACGGCTGTAATCTTTGTTTTTTCCTTCACCATATCATGTAGAAAGAACATTATATTCAATATTTTTAAACATGTTAGGATTTCTATACCACATTGCCAATACTGTGTGACACAAGCCAACGGCAATTTTCACTTGTATTATTATTATTATTACCCTAGCTGTTATCATTATTATTGCTATTTCCATTTTATATGCTGCATGTTTTTGACACTACCTCTATTGTAAATGTGGAAAATTTTCTGTGTGATTAATTTTATTTATAATTTGAGGAAATTAGATGCAATATTGTGATTAATGCTGAAAATTCCAATCTGTATCACAAGTACTGTTTTTGGAATAAAGTAAATCATTATTATTATTATTAAAAAATAAGCATGAACTAGATCCTGTGCTTATTTGCATTGATCAATAGGGCATATCTGCATTTTCAAAAGGAACCAGTGTCCACTAGTGATAGCAAACGTACGTCACTTAGTTCCACAGTCAGAAATATTACCATTGAGCCATTCATGACCTTTAATGTTATGTGTACACTGATTGCTCGCTGCGGTTTAACTAGTGTCATTTGTTTAGTCCTTAGTGATACCGAATGAATTCTGTCAGTCGCTGGGTTGGAATCCTCTAAGAGGACTTTGAATCTTATGAGGTCACATGTACACCTTGCTGACCAGTAATAATAGGCATGAAACTTGAGTCAAGGACTTCTTGTCAATCACTTCTAACCATCAAATACAATCCATCTTTGCCTGATAAGTTAATAGGTGAATAAGGTACTTTTATTAAACCATAAGAAGGTGATAGTTGAATAATATTTTGGTTTAATTCATTGTGATTAAACTAATCTTATTTTATTGGTTTGTTTATTATTTCGATAAGGCTTTAAGATTTGTTTGACTACCTCCTGACGTGTGTGCATATGTTTTTGTATTAAACCTAAATAAAAACAAAAAAAGAAGAGTAAAATGAAGTAACAGTTCAAATACATCACTGAATTGTATCACTTCGAATCTCTGACCATAGTGAGGTGAATGCTACGTTTAAATACATGTAAATATTACACTGATTAACTTCTTCGGATAAAAAGTGATAATTTGTATATTAAAGGAAAGGTCAATGAAGAAGAGATGCCAGAAGAAAGTAACAACAGTTAAAAGAATCCAGTGAGAAACAGACAAAAAAATTATTGTTTGTGAATCATACGACCAGT